GAAAATGGGCCGTTAGGAATTTTTAACATAATAATATTTTTACATCGACTGTTACCCATCGAACCACATACAACATGCAGTGCTGATTTCTTGTCACTGCTTTTCACTGCAGAGAAGCTAATTCCCTTGCTTCCATCTAAGCCCGTCTGTTATATTTTTTAAATGAACAACTATTTTGTGGACCACAGATCCAATTAGCAGCTTTTATCTACTAACATCCAGGAACACTTTCGTTCTCACAAGGACTCAACTGCTGTTTTGACCCATTCTGTAAAAATGTTATTGGGTTTACTATGTATATAATCTTTGTTTTAAATGCAGTGCAATTGTACTCTAGGATGTATGGCAATGTTTCTTAAAATAATAGGCTTGAAACTGAATTAAATCAACTCTAAAAAGTGATCTTTTTAAAAAGTAGACTGAGCTAGTTAAAGAAACAACAAACAAAGCACAATTAAAGTTTGAACAGTTTGATTTTTGAGTTATCACAAGTCTGGTGTCACTGCATTTTGACTGATCACATTCTATTGGATCTACAGACCCATATGTAAAATCACTTAAGTCTTTTTGTCCAGTATCTGGGCAAATTAAACTTGCATCCATGTACTTTAGCCCAAAGATTATGTTTTACCACAATTTGGTATGGCGAACTAAGATAAGGACAAAAGGTATGCATTTTTCTAACATCATTTGCATAACTGATGAATTTTATCATCCAACTGATGTCCCCATAATTATAAATAATGTGCTAAACGGTAGCAGTGGAAGTGGATGGTAAGAAAAGTAGAAGCATACAGATAGCTCAGTGAAAACACCTGAGGAAAGTTTTCACCCCAGTAGCAAATTACAAGTTATTTTGAAATTACTTTCTTTTATTCCTTTCAGAAACAACTTTAATACTTCTTGAGAAGATTATTTATAAGAGCTGATCATGACCCTTGCTGTGCCATTCTGAATCCAGTTTTGTTCAGAGACAAAAATATAAGGCACCTAGAATTGAATCTGGTCCCTAATCTTTTTTTTTTTTCCTGGAGAATTTCTGCTATTTTCAAGAGCTACATTGTCTCTGAATCTTCATTTTGTAAGAAGTTGAAGTGATTTGGGAGAGGGAGAAAAAGACATGTCCCAGGGAAAAAGGAGAAGTCAAGTAGTCAATGTGTATCACGCAGTAAAAAGTCACTCATTAGCATATAACAGGTGGACGGACTTGCTTAGGAAGTGGTATAAGTTCATTCTCTGGTTAGATTTTGGAGAAAAAAGTCCCTTTCCTTCTTTCTTTCTTTGTCTTTCTTTCTTTCTTTCTTTTTTTTTTTTTTTTTTTGGAGAGGTTTTCGCTATAGGGCGCGTGCACTCGCCAGAAAGACAGAGAGAGACAGAGAGACAGAAAGCGAGAAATCACTCCCCAGGGGGGATGGTCACGCCGCAATCCCTTCTCCTCCATTCTCCTCTCAGGATCTTGGGCACACGCACACGCGCCCGGCGTGAGTTTTAAGCCACCGGGTCTGGGACGCGAACCGTGGTCGACTACGTGGGAGTCCAGCGACATAGCCATTACGCTAACAGCTGGTCCCCCCCTTTCCTTCTTTCTATTCCTGTTTACAAAACATTTATTGAGTTACCAAAATTTAGCTAAATTGACAAGAGAAATATAACTGTATATACAATCATCATCACAGGACATTTATTGTCCCATTCTACACCACACCTCACTGATAGTGTACTTGGGAATATTTGTGGTATACATAAGATACTGACTCAAAAAAAGTAGTGTATGAATTTCAGAAACAGCAATTACATAAATATCTTGAAAGGAGGAATTCAGAATAGCATGAGATTATTAAAAAAAAATCTTAAGTTGAAAGAAGTCAAATTCAACATGAAGAAAGGAAATTTTAACCATAGTTTCATATCGAATGATCATTTTACTCATTCTCCGTCCATAACGATTTGTATTTCTTTTGCTTCTCAACTCTCTTCTAATAATTCAAGGAATTTCCAAGGATCGTTTTTCCTTCTGCTATCAAATGAGGTCCTCTTGGCTTTTAAGTGCAAGATTTCTTCTTTCCTTTTTAATGCATTATGTTGTGATCTTTTAAGTACTACTATAGCAACATGATTATAATGTTACAGTTATTTCACTCAAATTAAAATATATAGCTTGGTGTCTTGAGGGGGTGTGTGTGGTGTGTCGGTGAGGGAGGGTGCTTTAGATTTGTATTTTGTGTGACTGTTGCACATGTTGTAATGTTGTGGAAAACCAGACGGCCAAGAAACAAAAAGGCAGCACTCTGGAGAGATAGGGGTAACTCTTTAATATGCCAGTGGGTGCAGAGAAGTTAACACTCAGAATCTCTGACCCCTCTTGAGGGTCCAGCACAGTCTTTTATCAGGAAGTTTGGGGAGGGGTGACTTTCATCGGGCTAAGGGGTAGCCTATCAGGAACAAGTAGCCCATCAGGAAGATGCAGCCCAGAGTTTGTTCTCAGGAAGAAAGGGTCAGATAAACAGGATGGTCAGTTTTTCTCAGATTGTTTTATCACTTCAGAGAGGGAGAGGCCTAGGCAGTGAATACATAGAGGCTTGGGATGGCAATGGTTGGCCTTAGGCTATTGTGATCTGGGCCCATCCACATTAATATGAATTCACATTTTACTGGGGGGTCTTGTATTTTATTTTTGAATTCTGTCTTTACACTAGTTCAATTTTGAGTACAGCATACAATTAGAGTTTTATATGTGATGAGTGATAGAGTGATAAAGCAAAAATTATAAACTCCTGAGTGTTTCTGGTCGTTACTCTTTGCCTGCTATCTAAAGAAAATGGCCGCCTGACCATTTCAGTTACTCCCTCCAGCCACAGTTGGCAGTTTTCTGTTTGGTTGCTAGGTTGCCAGGTTGCTAGGTTGCCACATTCCGTGGACATTATGATGCGTAGTAAAAAGAACCTTGAAAATGGTATAAATGAGCACGCAGCAGGCAGAGGAAGAGGAGGAGAGCAGGCTGGGCCTAGCAAAGCTAACCTTTTAGTCAAGTTTATACTGAGAGTGGAGATAAACAGTGGTGAGTTGGAAGTAAAAAGCAAACTGTAAGGAAACGTAATAAGCACTTTTTAGCTTACGTATCAACTTTGTAGTATGTAAGAAATTATTTTGAAATTACCTTTTGTTGCTTGATTTATCATTCTTCAATAGAGAAACTACTTTTGATACTTGTGCTTCTGTGTCAGGGCTCCAGTATATTCACCTATGATTCTGTGACCATGTCTTAAGTCTATAAAAGAATCTGGTTTTATTTATCGTTAAACTGTTAGAGTAAGAAAAACATTTGAAAAGAAATATTAACCAATTTGGGGGTCAAACAGGGATGCAGTACTAAAATATGGCTCTGAAAGGCAGACGCACATGGGAAGGTTACCAGTTCAAGGCCAGAGACCTCCCTAAGTGTGCTAGGGACACATGTACCCATGATCTGAGCTGGAGGATGCTCGAGTTGGGGGGTGGCATTGAGATCCTGCCATGACTACTATCTTTCTCTCTTTCTTTCCTCCTCTTGTGGAAAAACAGACTGCTGGGGAACAAAGGGGCAGCACTCCGGAGAGACAGGGGTAACTCTAATACACTAGTGGGCGTGGAGGAGTTAACACTCAAAATTTCCAGCTCCACTTGGGGGGTCTAACACAGTCTTTTATGGGAAAGTTTGGGGAGGGGCAGTTTCCAGTGGTCTAAGGGGTAGCTTATCAGGAAGAAGCAGCCCATCAGGAAGATGTAGCCCAGAGTTTGTTCTCAGGAAGAAAAGGTCAGATAAGCAAGGTGTTCTGCTTCTCAAGGTCTCAGATTGTTTTATCACTTCAGGGGGGGAGAGGTGGAGGCAGAGAATTCACAGAGGTCACTTCAGAGGGGGAGAGGCAGAGGCAGAGAATTCACAGAGGCACAGAGGCCTGGCATGGCAACAGTCAGCCTTGGGCTATTCTGAGTTTCGGGCCCAGCCACATCACTTTCTCTCTCATGAAATAAATAATATTTTTTTTAAAAAATTGACTAGTTTGTAAGGAACAGGAGATGTTAAGTTCCCTCAAATGAAGGAGGTAGCGTATGGTAGGAGATTTTCTGCCACTTATAATGTTGCGGAAAACCAGACAGCTGGGGAACAAAAAGGCAGCACTCTGGAGAGACAGGGGTAACTCTAATACGTCGGTGGGCATGGAGGAGTTAACATTCAAAATCTTCAGCCCAGCTTGGGGGTCGAGCACAGTCTTTTATTGGGAAGTTGGGAAGAGGCAGTTTCCAGCAGGCTAGGGAATAGCCTATTAGGAAAAAGCAGCCCATCAGGAAGATGTAGCCCAGAGTTTGTTCTCAGGAAGAACGGGTCAGATAAGCAGGACGTTCGACTTCTCAAGGTCTCGGATTGTTTTATCACTTCAGAGGGGGAGAGGTGGAGGCAGAGAATTCACAGAGGCCTGGCATGGCAACAATTAGCCTTGGGCTACTCTGAGTTCTGGGCACAGCCACATCAATAAGTGCTTGGGACTCTGAAGGAATATGTTAGGGGCCAAGTGGTGGCACAGTATAATACCCCCAGATTCACATGAGAAAGGTCCTGGGTTTGCATACTAGGACTTCCCTAAACACACTAGGTGTACATGTGTCTCTAACCTGGGCCACTAAGACTGGGGATGAATCATGATCTGGGGACCCTGTTGGGGATGCCTGTCTCTCTATCTTTTTCTCTCTGTGTCTCTATCATAGACAAAATAAATTTAAAAGTCTTTTTTAAAAAAGCATATCTTAATCAAGGGTGTTTCGATCTGAGGTGAAATGAATTTGTATATTGGTATTTAGTGCCTTAACCGCCATGCCACAGGGGCCAGCAGGATATAGACGTGGAAGATACACAAAGATACTTCCCTTGAGGGAAGAAGGTATAGGAGCTGAATATTCTTTGTTTTAAAATATTTTGACATGTTTCTAGGGTGCTACGAAGATCTATATGACCACCAGTAACTTCAGCTTCTACGAAATTACTGGATCTCAGCCACACTGAGAAGCAACCGTCATATCATCTTCAGTTTGTGAGTTTTATCTGGTTATTGTACATGTCTTCTAACACATAGACTCTGTTCACTATTTGATCTTGATTATAATTTGGCTGACGCTGAGATGTCTTTGTAGAGAGGTTTTCCAATTGTCAGTCTTGAAAAGATAAAACCCAGGAACATTCAGAAGCACTCAAAAACTTTGCCACTGGATTTTAGGAATGTGTGGAGACACCGAAGAAAAGAGTAAAGAAAAAAACTAGAGGATCAAGAAATGAGCCTTAAGGAGTGCTCATATTTAAATGTTAGGAAGACTTAAAAAAAAAAAAAAGCAAAATATATAAATAAAATAAGGACGAAAGAAACAGAAGGATAATAAGTTATCACATGGTAACAGAAGTCAAGAAATGGTATGCTTAAAAGTAGGGAGAGTTGAATATACAGTTCCACGATCTTAGAACAGCATTAGGCAGGGGAATACGCAGAATAAAATCTAATTTTGATCACTGTCTTCTATTAAAAAACATAAAGTTTGATATTAAAATAGACTTGAATTAATATCAAACTTTGGATACATAATTAAAGGTCAAGTTTAAGGGAATGATGAGCATGAAAGAACAAAAGTTCTGCAGCATTAGAACAGTGAAAGCATAGTGAATGAGTAGTGGGAAGAAAGCTGGACAGAGAGGTGAAGTCAGATTGTGTAGGATCTCTGAACACTGCAGTATGTGATAAGGCCCATATCATTATACATGTTTAAATCCAGCTTATCTACCCATACATTCTCCCTAGGTTAGCTCAGAAAAGCTAGCCAGGTGAAATGAAAGCCAAATTAGTTCATTTCTCAAGTCCCTTCAGATTTGTTTTCAGCTGCATTTGCCTTTCCCCACCACTGCCTTTGGTAAGAAATTGCCTGCACATCTTCCTGATCTCCCAGTTGAGATTGTCCCAAGCCCTGTCATAGAGGAGTGGAAATGTAGTTCTGCAAACTAGGATGCACTGAAAGTATTTGAGCAAGCAGATGACATGAGGAAAGAAAAAAACTAACACGAAGGGAACTTAATGAAAGAGACAAGAGGAAAGTGGTGAGTGGAAAGTTTGGAATCAGAGAAAGCAGTTACCATCAGCAGTAAAGCAAGTGTGAGGAGAGTATCAGCTTGACTAGTGCTGGGAATGAAAAGTATTGGTCAATGTGGGAGCTATTTTAATTTTAAAAAATCCGAATTTGGATCTCACCTTTCAGCTTCCTACACTCTTGTCCACTCTACTTTTCCTTCTCACATAATTCACATCATTTTTCTTTGTACAGATATTGCTTTAAATAGAGCAGATTTAAACACACACACACACACACAGACACACACACACACAGAAACACACACACACACATAGAGAAACACACACCCAAAGGGAAAGTTGCAGGGAAAGAATAGCTTTTGTTCTTCACACCACTGCAGCCATTTCATCTTTACATAGGTCTTAATGCTCAAACATACATACTTAACAAACTGCCTTTTACTTTAGTTTCATTTTAAGCTCCCAGGTCAGTAATTCAGATCTATCTTATGCGATAAAAATTATATTTAATTCTCCATACAAAAGGGAATAATTGGACTTCCTAGCCAGAACTATATGTGCTCTAGTGCATACAACACATTCCTGAAATAGCCAAAGGAGAGGTTATGTTATTCCAAGTTTATACAAATTTTATAACTCCCTAACGAGAACACATATTTAATAGAAGTCTCATATTTGCACTCAGTTTTGATTTTCCTTATATTATTTTGTAGGTTTCTGACTCTGATAAAATGTTATAGTTGTGAAAAAGCATAGGAATTGCGCATCACGTGCTTTTTGTTCGGTATAAGAAACTGACTTCTTAGGAAGTGAAGCATTCAACACCTTAATAGATCTTTGTCTTCTTTCTCATAAACAGAACCCAAGATGACTTCTCCTATGAAAGAAGGAAGTGATCCAACCAATGACAATCTCAAAAATTCTGTAAATGAGGCTCCTGATGGCTGTGAAACTGACATAGAGCCTCTGTGTGCCGATCCTGATGTGATCTCTCAGGTGCAAACCAACCCCATAAACCAGGAGCCAGGCACATCACTCTCCCAGGGGGATGCTGTTATGCAAACGGCAGAAAACAATGAGCTTGAAGGAGAGAAGAACAAAAAAGAAGATTCAGAAGAAGAGGGTCTTCTAGTTCAGATCCCCATTCCTAGGAAATGGATCTCTCTTATGTCAGGATTAGGGAGAATTACCTATGTCAATGTCCCACTAGCAATTGATAAAAAGAATCCCTTAACTGATAGCTCAAGATTTTACTCAGGCAACATGGAGATACGAACAGGCGATTTCTATCCTAGTGCCATAAATTATAAAACTCGTCTCCAACTTTTAGTTTCGTGGAGAATTCCATACCTTAATAATCATGATGTAAGGAGAATGACCCTTCGTCTGCTGTGTGGGAGATATTTCTCTCAGTCTGCGGGTCATCAACGTATCACGTGGGTGAAGCAAAAATATATAGCATTTCTTTCTGACTCAGACATTCTGAATCATAGAGAGAGAACCATAATGCTTGGAAGACCTTTGAGGGTGTATTACAACCTGCCCCTCACTGAGAGAATGACATCAACAACATTTCAAAAATCATTCAATAATAAAGGGAAGGAAGGCTTCCATGTTTTTGTGAGACCTATGTTCTATGTTCCACAGACCCCAATTCAAAATGTACTTAATAGGAAAGCTTTTGAGGAGCATTTGAGGTCTCGTTATAACAGGAGATTTGTGATCATAAACACCTATAATGGTGGGAAGTATATGTGCTCCGTCTGTGGTTGTACTTTGAACAGTTTGACTGAGTTTAGACTCCATTCCTGCAGCTTTCCCGAAGAGGATTAAATTAAAGTGGGGCCACTTCATTTTGAAATTTCAATTCTAAAAATTCGTAATTCAACCACTAAAGTAAGACAAAAACTACATGAATATAAATTTTAGTAATATTAGATGGAGTTGCAGAAAGGAATACAAACTGCCAGAATATATCAGAAAGAAACTTTTGGGAAGGGACGAAACCCCGTTTATATCATTCTATTACAAATAGATCATCAAAATATCAGGGCCTTCAGTTTGTATTGAGTCAGCAATTGAATGAAGAAAATGTTAGGACTTTTTTAGCATCATTTTTGCAGATCAAAATATTGTTAAAATGAACAGATTCCAAGTTAACACAATCCGGACAAAGACTGCAAATATATATTGGAAAGCTAAACAGTCTTGCAACGTGTTCCTAGATATTCTGCTCAAACTTATATCAGAAGTCTTCTCCATATTTTCAATAAATATCATTTTTAATACATTAAATGTTGTATCGTATGCTTATAACTAGAAAAAATTCTTAAACTTAGAAAAAGTGGTTTAGATAATAATTTTGATGATGCAAAATAAAAACAAAACTCATAAAAAACAAAACGATACTATAGAAGTTAAATCATTTGAGATATATGTGAAGAAATATAAAACTGGTTAACATATAACTTCAATGTTTCTTTTTTTTCTTGGATAGATCCTTCACTGTTGCCCATAGTCACTGTCCTAATTATACCTCCCCCCATACGCCTATGCACAAATGCACACATGTTTTTAAGGAATTCCCATCTTGCTACTTACAGCTCAAACATCTGCGCCTCTTATTCAATACACAAAACATATAGGAATATGCACATATTACAGAACACAACATATACTTACTGATTACCAACTATGTGTGAAGCACTGTCGCAGGGTTATTTCACGTGTTAGTTCATCTTTGTAATATTCTTAAATGTAGGTATGTTTATAGTCAAAATATACGAGTAAAATTCGTTTTCAGACCATGAATGGCCTTCTCAAGTCACACAGTAAGTGCATGGTATTGTCATCATATAATAATGTATTATAGCTGAAATTTAAAAGGAGGCTTTTTGCATATTATACCTTATTTAGTAAGTATGTATTTATGTATGAAATAGCATATAGAATTGATTTCATCCATGTATTTACCGTAGTACAGAAATTCTAAACTCTCCTGAAGTGGAAAATACTTTAGCAATATCTAAAATGGGTCAGATTTGTTCATCTCAAGATAAATTGGCTACTTTCAGATAAAATTATTCAGTATAAGCAATGAATTGGAGTAAATACCTAAGACAATCTAGGCAACTAAATAAAATGTTTCTACATTTTTAAAAGTATATATTATTTGTAATTTTTTCTCATTTTTGAGTATGAAATATAGTTTCACGAAAATATAAATCATCTGGGAACCAGCAGTTAGCGTAATGGCTATGTCGCTGGATTCCCATGTAGTCGACCGCGGTTCGTGTCCCGGACCCAGTGGCTTAGAACTCATGCCGGGCACGTGTGCGTGTGTGCCCAAGATCCCGAGAGGAGAATGGAGGAGAAGGGATTGCGGCGTGGCCATCCTCCCTGGGGGGTGATTTCTCACTTTCTGTCTCTATGTCTCTCTCTGTCTGTCTGGCGAGCGCACACACCCTGTAGCGAAAACCTCTCAAAAAAAAAAAAAAATATATATAAGTCATTAGACAGAAGTCAATAGAAATAAAGTAGAAAAATGGCTTGTGTTCCTCAATTTTCCTAACTAGAGTTAAAATGAAAATTGCAATTGGGGATGTGTAAATGGTGGCCCAGCACTGAAGTGCAGTGCTCTGTGGGACAGACTGGCTTGTGTTGGGAGGGTTGTCAGTTTGCCTTCCTAGTGCTCCAAGCCCACACGTGCCCATGATCCAGGCTGACTGGAGCTGAGTGTGTGTCACAGAGTCAGAGCATGTCAGAGGTGCCATATGTCTGTCTGTGTGTAAGTCTTCTTCTCTCTCACCCATGGAATAAATAAAGCTTAAAAAACATAACAACAGGGTTTTTAAATTGGGTTTTATACTGTCTTATTACCTGTATCAAATACACATCTTGGCTAAGAAATTTCCATAAAGTTTGAAAACATGGCTAGAATGCAGAACAAAGTAGTTACTGAAAAATAACATTTTCACATGTTTTTTTCAAAATTACAAATAAGAAATTTTTTTTATTTTATTATATTTTTAATCTTGCCAGAAGGTGCATGTACTTGCTAGGCAGAGTCAGAGAGAAAGGTAAAGTGAGAAAACACCCTCTTTATGAAGCATGGTCATGCTGCAATCCCTTCCTTCTTTCAGGAGTTTGGATATGCATGCACATGAGCCCAATCTGTTTTTTGTTTTTGTTTTTTGAGAGATTTTTGCTATAGGGTATGTGCACTAGCCAGAAAGACAGAGAGAGAAAGAGAGACAGAAAGCGAGAAATCACCCCCCAGGGGGGATGGGCATGCCGCAATCCCTTCTCCTCCATTCTCCTCTCAGGATCTTGGGTATGCACGCACACGTGCCCGGACTGAGTTTAAGCCACCGGGTCTGGGACTCCAACTGCGGTCGACTACGTGGGAGTAAGTGACATAGCCTTTACACCAACTGCTGATCCCCCAACCTGTTTCTCAAGCCACCAAGTTTAGTACTCCAACCACACCATTGACATGTGTAATCCAGTTGTCTTAACCACCAAACCACAGACTGGCTCCAAAGGCATCTGTTAAGATAAAATCTTAGAAATGACAAAATTTTAGAAATGACACACATTTTGGGACCAGCAGATAGTATAATGACTACATCACTGGATTCTCATGTAGTTGACTGCAGTTCAAGTCCCGGACCTGGTGACTTAAATTCATACCAGGTGCATGTGCGTACATGCCCAAGGTCCTGAGAGGAGAATGGAGGAGAAGGGATTGCGGCATGGCCATCACTCCTGGGGGGTGAGAGGGGTCGATTTCTTGCTTTCTCTCTCTCTCTCTCTCTGTCTTTCCGGCAAGCACACAGACCCTATAGCGAAAACCTCTCTTTAAAAAAAAAAAAAGGACACACATTTAATTAATGTTGAGGGGATCACAATAATCTAAACTAAAGGATCCTAGCTACATTTTTCTATAGCAGCCCACTTGAAAGATTTTCACAACTACCAGAGTGGGGGAACCAACATTTTACCTAGAAAACAGATGGGCCGGTAATGCAGTCCAATGTTTAAAAGGATAGATCTATCTTTAAAAATTGACAAATTAGTTCAACTGCAGTGGTGCATGTGGTAGGGTACATTGTATAATACTGGAGCCATCCGGGAAGGCCTGGATTTCTGATCCTGGATTAACCTGAACAAACTAGGCACACCTGCCATCCTGACTGGCTGGAAGGCTGGAGGGAGGACTGCAGCATGGCAAGACCCTGTCAGGAATCACTCTCTCTCTTTCTCTGTCTATCTTTCTAATGAAATAAATAAATAAGCTTTAAAAATTATAAACTCTGAGCGAACAGGTGACATCATGATTAAAGCACTAGATTCTCACATGGCTGACAGTGGTTTGAGTCCCAGATCCTGTGACTTAAAAATCATGCTGCACATGTACCCAGAACCCCAAGAGGAGAATTGAGGAGAAGGATGGCAGTGGGGCCATCTCTCTTGAGACGTGATTTCTCAACTGTCCCTCTCTCTTCCTCTCTCTGGTGAGTGCACACATCCTATGGCAAAAACTTAAAAAAGAAAAAATTGCAAACTCACTCAACATATCCCAAATATGGAAGATTTACTGCTGAATGAAGCAAGCCAGCCTATGAAAGTGTATGTTTCCATTTAACGTATACCAAATATCTGTACTCTATGGTGGAAACTGAGAGATTGGAGGACATCGCAGTATTGAAAATGATTATAGATTCCCGAGGTTATATGGGAGGAGGGTGAAAGAAGGAGAGTGTAAGGAAGGAAATTAAAGAGGAAACTAGAGAGGCAAGAAATTTATGGGACACAGAAGTGGGTCATTATCTGTTGATTATAATGTGTTTAGTATTCTCAACTGGACTGGTGCGAAGAGTATTCATGTTGGGTAAATTCAACTTACAAACAAAGGGATGTATAAGGATTAAATGTATAAAATAAAAAAATAATAACAATAAAAACTTTTAAAAATTAAAATAAAGGGGGACCAGCAGTTAGCGTGATGGCTATGTCACTGGACTCCCATGTAGTCGACCGAGGTTCAAGTCCCGGACCCAGTGGCTTAAACTCATGCTGGGCACGTGTGCGTGCATGCATGCCCAAGATCCCGAGAGGAGAATGGAGGAGAAGGGATTGTGGCATGGCCATCCCCCCTGGGGGGGTGATTTCTCACTTTCTGTCTCTCTGTCTCTCTCTGTCTGTCCGGCGAGCGCACGTGTCCTATAGCAAAAACTCTCAAAAAAAAAATTAGAATAAAAAGAACAAGGAAAAAACTCAACATGTCATGAGGGTACATATTTTTCTCTAAGATACAATAATATGCACATATTTTATTCCTTTATAATTGTATGAATGATTTGGACAATTCTGCCCGAAATTTTTTTAAATATGGTTGCAAAATATTCCTTTACTTCATGTATACACAGTAACTAGCATCTAAAATAATAAAATATATTTAACATGTTCAAAAACAGTAATTCATGCACTGAGCATATTGTAGAAAACATGTTTTAGAAAAAACAAGTTTATAGATCCCTGAAGATGGCAGTCTTTTACCATTTTAATGTGCTCAAGTTTTTACTACTTAGAATTTAAAATTATATTTTGTTTCAAAAGTTTACCTTATTACAAAGTTTTCTATTTGCCTCATATTATTTCTGTATTATCAGTGCATTGCATTTCTCTTTGTAAATTGTTAGGTTTTAGACATCATATTTAACCATAACCATTCCAGGTTTATGAAAGAATCAGACTGCCTCACACGTGTGGTAATAATTTTATTCTAATTTATGGAAGATGCTTTAAAACTCAAATTGAAAGTATAAAAAATATTCCAAAAAATCTTGTAAGATTAGAACAAAAGTGAATTCTCAAATAATATTTTATCTTATTTTCACTTTTTACGGGCATAGTTAATGTCTGATATCATGACTTTTATGTAGATATTTCTTGGATATTGTATGTTAATCAAAAGAAATAAATGAACTGAGAATATAAGTGTTTCTGATGTGTATTTTGGGTTTGTGTTTGCATCAGAGTTTAGAGAAGAAAACCCACAAACTATGAATCTATACACTAAGAATCCAGCTACAGAATGACTACAGAGTCATTCATATTCAGTAACAGACTTCAAATCTAATCAGTATTATTCAGTATTCAAATATGAAATACATTAATATATCAAAATA